CTGTCAGGGATGTGTTGGTTCTATGTGATGAGGAATACTGGACAAATTTGCTAAAGTTCCAGGAGAATTTTGACATATTGTCAGGAGGACTCTCCCACATTAACAGAGCTGGAGCAGCTGCCGATCTTATGAAAGTCACCTCAACCTTCCTTCAGAACAGCTCTGCATGGTAAGTGTTTGTAAAGCCTGATCTCGGCCGATTCATTCGGCAAATTCGCAATGTTCGTAAGCAGTGCAAAGATCGCTCTCTTGGCATGTGCAATCAATAGAAGCAGCAGTCGTTCTTATCGATATAACAGGCTTAATCTATACAGGAGTGAGGCGAAAATTACGGTAACAAGAGCGCTAACAAAAACTCTTCGATTTCCTTCGAAACCTAATAAATGCATCTGGCTGAACAGACCCCGGAGAAAAATCACTGCACACAAAAGCAAGATTGACCGCCTGTACACAAAGCAGATGTTGTGCAACATTGGTTTTGCAGAACTTTCTGAGTTCATGACATTGTGAGTGCGAGTGTGATTCCTCCTTTTTAAGCAAAAGGGTAGTTTCCGTATCACTGAGCGAACGATGGGCTGCTACAAGTATCATCAAGCATCAATAGAATTAAAGAGTCCCAGGGAAAAGCTTCTATGTCACGCTGATCGACTATCTGAGAGAGTCACGATGGCCCCGACGACGACTTCATTCAGGCATGAACGCAGAACAGCGGCCAGTTCCAAGAAGTGATGTTGTATTCTGTTCTGGTGATTTCCTATGAATACATTGTTGGTGGTCCACGTGTGTCTTCCTGGCCGCTTTGCTTTCCATGAACACTTTATCCTGTTACCGTAATTTTTGCCCACCCTGTAGAAAGCATGAACGACCCTTCGACGCGGTAGTTTACGCCGATGCCCATATACAATTCGTTGGAACTCACTCTTGACGTTCAACATGAAACAGCAAAGCAAGTGCGACTAGTTCAAGCAATCGTCACAATAGTTCTGTGCAAGCGCACTTCAACCAGAATTTGGGGCTGATCGTTTGCACTGTCCAAAATCCGACTACCACTATCATTATCTTTAGAGATCTCGCTTTCTGACCTCCCCCACTTTTGGATGCTTCATTTTCCAGAGAAGCTGCAGTCGGTGTGGACACCTCTTTGAAGAGCTTTTTCTGCACTATCCAAAACTCAGTGCAACGTTGTCATAAAACATTTTCTTATAACTTTTCCAAAGCTTTGAATGCGATAATACTCGATAAGCAAGTTGCCATGATTCTTTTACTAGAAATAGACTGAAAGTAGCGGAAGAGGCAGTCAGATTAATGTATCACTAGGCTTAGATTCGCACGAATATGCTCGAAGCAGAGATTTCAGAAAGCTGTAACAAAACGCTGAGATGTTTGGGATATGAGGAGAGGGCGTGTCGACTTCGGACCCGACCACCCGCCACCGAAATTTCTGCTTAAAGGGCTCATGCACAGGACGATGGAGGAGCTCCTGCCCAACGTGGACGTATATGGTAAAAGCCATAAGGAAGTACTGGAAAGTCCAAAAAATTCGATAGGCGTGCCTGACAGTCACCAATTGGAGGTCGTCCATCAAATTCTAGCTTGTTTCATGTGAAAAAAGCAACTCGTTTTTCAGCGACTCGTTTGCTACAGATTTGCGAAAGAGGGATTCTTCTCCACAGCCCACGAAGCTTTGCTGAATAGATCGACGGCGATCAAGCTCTACAAACTTTGCAAAATTTAAACTGTGCTGAAGGAGGGTTATGGCAGCTTTCATGGGTCAGCGGCTGGCCATGTTCTTCAGTATCAGGTGGAACTGTTACAGTGGAAAAGCAATCTTAACATTACGTCAAAATTCACCAAAAACTCTAAGACATGGGTCCAGCATTCCTCATTATAAAGGAACGGACACATCCCTGAAAGGTGTCTTGGACGCACATCGCACCGCCAACCCTTCACAAGTTGGACCAGCTGGGCTACGGAGTGGTGCTGCGAACATCTTACTCAGTAGACCTCTGGTCTATCAACTGTCACCTTTTCGAGGATCTCGATAGCTCCTTTGAGAGAAATGCTTCAAAATCCTTATCTTAAATCCTCATTTCATCGCCTCCAGAGCTCCAGCATTCTGAACAAACGTACCGTTGAACGGCTTCTTATAGAAAAAGATTCGCGCATTTCGAATGGTTTTTTAATCAACTCGAAAGGTTTAGTCTAAGCCGAGATACGTGCATTTAAAATTAGGGGTTGGAAAACGACAGAACTTTCTGAAACACCTAATATTTTGGCTTGCTTCCGCTTATTATAGGCCTGTTTTGAGCTTGGAAAAGAAAATCATTCGAACTTGTTTTTTGAGTATGCCGTATTCAAAGCTTCAATAAGTGATTAGGGAATGATACGGAATCTCTTCAAAATGGCAATAGCGTGATGGCTTGAAACAGAGACAAAATAAAGCGTTCAAAAATGGAACACCAAAAAGCGCAAGAACTTTCTTTACAGCCTAATGAATGAGCGTTTGCAGGTTTATCGCTCTGCTCTCCAAAACATCCTGATGTTTTATAGAAGACGTCGCGCCTTGGCACGGGATGGAATAACGCTTCCATCAGTTCGACGGCCACCATATCACAATGTCAACTGACCAAATGGTGCTTTCTCTTTATCTATTTCGCAATCGCCGGCCTTTGTAACTGCGGCCGTGGTAGCCTATACGCATGACTTTACCACGAGGTATGGTTCCCAAAATCTCTGCTTTCTTACCTTTTTTTTAAAACTACTCCAGGTGCTATTGCAAGACACGGGGGCATTGTGGTGGCAATATCGGTATGGTTTATAACGGCGTAAAAGATCTCCTTTGTACTGAAAATGGGACCATGCCTCATTATTAGAAGGAGAAGAGGGACTCTTGGGTGGCTGCGAGCGATTCCACACGTCCTGCCATTATTGGTTTGGTACTAAAGGATCCCACGTATCTTTGCTATAGGCCTGTTTAATTACTTTTTAACTCGGCCGTGTTGCTATGTTTTGTGCGAAAAAACCTGATCACCCTCGTTGATGTGTTCAAACCAGGACTCGCTTCTTCGATTAATGTGCTGATCGATTTCATTACAGAGGTCACATATTGCCGCTCCCCCTCTGCTACAGCTTTATTCCGGCCAAATACATGCGCTGCAGAACATGAGGTCGTTCAGACATTAACACCATCTTTCAATTTTTGAAAGTATTCCAAGGATTATACCCTGAACCACGTAATTTCACGGAAATGATTTTTTAAGCTTCAACCCACTTCAATAGTCCGTGTTTGTCAGAATGGTGAGCTCTCCACTCTCCGAGCGACTTTTGAAAATCAAAACAGGCCTTGGGAAATCAGCAATGAAGATCACTTGCTGAGTTTTAGAGAGGGTGGGGGGAGGAACGTCAGGGAGAACAGAATGGACATTCTTTTCCAGAGCAAGTCAACCCTGCGTTGCACGTTTTCGCCCGATTTGCGACACGTTCTCCGATTAGACACATTCACACTCGCATGCTCGAGCCGTCTGTGTCTCCGCCCATACAGCGTGCGTTGAGGATCTCTCGACGTGCCGTTGCGAACTGCGCAACGCAGGGTTGACTCTGCTGCCTTCGTTCCACTCCTCAAACCAAGAGTCAGATTAGGCAGTCATAGAAGGGTTTATCCATCGCTAGTATGGCCAGGACACCGCTCAGAGGGGTGACGCCAGACTCCTGACTCGTGATTGCGAGGGACAAGGCCTCTGGTCTACTACTTACAGCGATACGTTGCATCAGCTAGGCCCGTCCACCGCGAGATGCAGTGCATGGCTGGCATAACGTGTGAAATCAGCTAGGTTGATTGCCGTGTATCAACCGATGGAACGGCTGGCATATCCGGAAAACTCGTTTGGACGTGGCTCTCTCCCAAGCAAGCCTCCTTCACTGCTGCTAGGAGGGAGGATTTCGTTTTCGGCCTTGTCGACGGTTTCTTTCGTTTCTGTCGTTCCATTTCACACTCCATGCTCAACTTCAGTCGCCATAATGCACCACATTGATTGAGCCGACTTTTGCCTTCGAGGTTTAATCCGTACTGATTGGCTCACTCACTTGAATGGCCCCCATGACGACGTGAGCGCCCAGTATGGTTCCTGATCTTGGAAGCGTGTGCTTGATATCCATCAGTTTCTTTGTTGCTGCGTGGGCAGATATTTAGGGTGACGAGCTCGTAAGAATCGAGAAAAATACCATCCGCATGAAATCATTTTTCTCACCAGGAAGGTCTTTCAGGGCGTGACGCTTTTTGAAAACGGTCTTTTGCATGATATAGGGGCAGATGCGGGAACCACAGAACCATGTTCAATTTTTCCTGAACGGCCCTCTGAATACCAGAAAAGGAGGTCCCTAGTTCGATTCCTCGTGGTAACAAATTTTTGCATTTCGAGTTGACGTCCATTTTGCGCGAATTTTGGAACGTCAACTCGAAATGCAAAAATTTGTCACCAAGAGGAATCGAACTAGGGACCCCTTTTCTGGTATTCAGAGGGCCGTTCAGGAAAAATTGAAACATGGTTCTGTGGTTCCCGCATCTGCCCCTATATCATGCAAAAGACCGTTTTCAAAAAGCTCGTCACGCCCTGAAAGACCTTCCTGGTCAGTAGCCTATTCGCTTACATCCCGATCAATGACTATCCTTTTCTATTTCTATTCGTCCACTCGCCTGTTCGTCTGAGTAACCCATGCTGAACTTAGCTGAAAACTCAGACTGTTGAAAGTGTAAATTCCCAGAGAGGAGTGCTATTCATATTTTTCAATGCCGACATAGCATTTTCGGCGCGAGTTGAGGTGCATGGCGCAATCTACTGACGAAATATAAGATTTATCAAACAGACTTTTCCACGCAACTTCCTTCCATGTCCTGTATGAACGATTTATAGCTCAAGTCGACTTTTTTCAGACAGCCTTTACCAGATATCCTGTTCTCGCTGTTTCCCGAACAGGAATGGGCCTCTCGTCTAGGCGACTACATGGTGTTGGCCACACTCACCTGCTTCTGCCTTCTGCTCGTTTTTCATCAGTCGCGAGCGATTGTCGCTCGCCGTTTTCTATTCATCGGCGCCACGCTTTACGCTTTTCGTTCTGTTACACTCGTGTTCACTCAGTTACCTCCAGGTTGGTGTGATGTCATTGGGTGACGATGCTGTTGCCCCTTCATGGCCGCGAGTTTCAGTGGGCCTCAGCCATAGCAGGGCTCGATGGATAGTGTGAGAAGTAAAGATTCAGGGATTTTCTCTCACTCTACCTTGTCAGACACTGTCAGCCACCTGTCGTACCGTGTAGGTCATAACTGCAAGTGAAAAAGATGTCGTGCCGTAAGCACTCACCAAGTGATCACAAGGGAGTGCAGACAGCAGTGGCGCAAGAGTATCCTGGAACAGACCGAGAAGGGAAGCTGACGATTTGAAGGCGTACGACCGTGTAGCACTTCTTCCTTTCTCCTGGTCGGCTAGTACCTTCTAATTTATATGCTCTTATGAACCCGTCGCCGATCTTGGCGATCAGGGAGGCCTTCACCGATGACTAGACTTGCTCTTCCCTTCAATCCGTATTTGAATTTTCTCAACACCCAGGGGCTTCCAAAAGAAAGTCTCGAGTCTACGAATCAGTGACTGATTTCTTAATTATTTCAGGTTACGAAAACAACGATGTGCGTTGCCGTGAGCAAGTGAATATTACTCTCAGCATATTTTTGTCCAGACTCGCTGAGCAAGCGATTCGATTAGGACTCCAGGTGCTTTTATATACACATATGGTGCAATCGCCAAATACGGGGACATTGTGGATAAGGTTCATTTCAAACCGTTTAAAACGTCCCCTTTCTGTCAAAAACGAAAGTAAGCTTATGGTGATGGAAAAGAGACTCCAGACTGAGTGAGCGATCCTTTTATTTCACTTTTGTATATTTTTATTATGTTATATTTTTAAATTATTTTTTTATATATTTATATCACAAGTCAGAGTACCTGGCGTTACCTGCGCCCACGCTGCAGTGATAGAATTGCTAAACGGAAATCAAAGCACTGAGCCTTTCTTTTCATTGCTAATTGCTTTGCTAACAAACTTTTTATTCCTACACGATTATTCCTACAAGATCACTTCATATCCCTAGAAGAGTTAACGCCTAAATCATTAACATTTACATGCCGCTGTATAGGTGTACTATCTGGAATGTATTTCCATGGAAGAAGATCCTATTGAAGAATAGATGTGTCGTTGTGGGATTGATCTTTCAAACCCCAACGATTGCACCACTGAAGCATGTTGTTGACAGAACAGTTCAGAAGTCTTTGAGCGTCATCACGCTCACTATCTTCATATGCAGTCGAGACTTTGATGTCGTCAGCGTATGCTGCAACATCAATTCTGTTGTCGCATTTTACGAATTTTAAAAGATTGCATGTGTAAATAAAAGGGGAGAGAGAGTTCTCCCTCCAAAGAACTCCCGATGGACAGTCTTTCACACTAGAAATGGGGTCAGAAAACGGCACATTTATTTTCCAGTCGGTAAGGTATGAGCTAAGCCATTCAAGACATCACCTCAAACACCAACACCTTCGAAGAATAATTGAAAGGCTACTTCTGCACACTGTGTCGAAAGCTTTGGTCAAATCGAAGTAGACCACATCAGTTCTTTTACCGAGATTGTGGGCAATCGAGTTGGGTGCATGTAGAAGCACATGGTAAGAAAACAACTGTTCAAGGGGTTGCATTGCAATTTGATTACCCACCCTCACAGACTGTTATTTACACAATTTTCTTCTTTTTCCTTATTCTCACTTCGAGTGAGTGGGGAGAATACTTATCGGTCGAAAACTGGATAACGAGTTGGAATCGCTTCTCTTCGGAATGGGCTTTACTACTGCATGCTTCCAAATGGAAGGAATCCTCACCTAGAATCAAAGAAATATTGAATATGTGAGCAAGCGGATTTTCCAGCTCTTTAGCAAGTTGTTTGGAGAAGAACTGAGGTATCCCTTCGGACGTTTTGGAAAAGAAGGTTTCAGAGGAAGCAAATGCTTAAAAACCATTTGTGGGATGATTACAGGTAGCTAAGTTATTATAAGCCAAACCTTTGTTTTTTGCAGGAAAAAACGAAGATGCTGTGTGGCGATATGCTGTTCTCCGGTCACAGTCTGGCTATGGTGAATTCCTTAATCCGATATTATTATAACGATTAATTTGATCTGCTCCTCTTTATTTTGTGAGCATGAGTAAAGAGGGATGAAGGAGGCTTCACAATCCATAAACGGCGCTTGTTTATCGTGTGAAGATTAATTAAGTTAGAAGACGATATTTGTTTCGTTTACGCTACAGATCGCCCGCCTAAATGTGGGTGCATTGAGCTCGAAGCGCTGATGTTCTCGGTTCATGTCGTTGGAGGGCGATGGGGATATTGAAGTGAGTGAGAAACTCAAGTACTTGGGACTAAGTAGAAGGAATTATGGGGGAAGATATGAGCCACTCTTGTACTCCCTGGAGTTTTTCCCCTCTCTTTTACCTAACCCTAGTGTCAACTACTAGCGGTGTTAAAATACCCTGTTTCGAATGTCCCTCCTGGGGTCATGAGCGCCTGATGCCCTCCGGAACGAGCCCTGCCCACCTACAGAAATTGCCTGCCAACGTAAATCGTCCTTAGGTGACATAACTGGGTAGAAGGAGGTCGTACCTGGTAATTTCGGTGAGTGAGGTCCCATTTCGCGTTTTGTGGATTGTGGAAAGGAGAGGGAGGTAGCACTTGAGATCCAGAGAGGCTAGTGCTGACGGATGTGGGGGAATGAAGGAATGTTTTTGCGGTAGTCCCTACTTCGTCTGTGGTGGTGAAGGAAGGTCGTATGGAGACCCTACTAAGAGGAGTGATTCAAAAAATTTTGAAAATTTTTCCAAGCGTCACAACTAACCCTGCAAACTGGGCACAACGCATTTTCTCTTCATCGCAGAAGCAGTAGAAAGTGATTTAAACTATGTTAGGTAAGGTCCACCTAATTTGCTTCGGGCAAAACTCAAAAAAATCAGAAAAGAGACGGCGCTGTTCCAGGTGACGAGCGCTCTTTGCATCGCGTACTACTTACCTACGCGATGGCGACTCTTCCAGTGGATTACGCATTTCTTCACCGCCATCGGAATGATTTGTTTGATCATCTCGCGGACTCACTACACCAATGACGTCTTCATCGCTTACTGGCTATCAAATTTTGTTTTTCGGTACATGGACTCAAATTCTAAAATTGCACGGGTCCTCCATATCACCAATTTTATAAGATGAATTATGACGGCTATTTCGCTTGCATTTCAGGGCATACCACGCTTTTTGTGAGGTGGACATTTTCATAGAGCGGAGGAAATCTGTACTCCATGGATTGTGGATGCTTTGGATTGTCGAATGGCTCGAAGATGATATTGTACCGGGAAAGTCAGTGCAGTACTATGCGAAAAAATTTTCAAAGGAGGATTTCACGATAAAGGAGAAAGTCGAAAAAGACGGAACCTAGCTGGTGGAGCGACAGATGAACCCCTCAAGGGCGCGAAACGACACCAATTCAAATGAGGGATATGTCCCGCTATAATCCTGCATGGCCTTCTCCGTCATCCAATTGACGCGCTACTGGCCCGATGCCCCATCTCGCGTCGTCTAGTGTCGAGTTTTTAGCCTTTCAGCGGAGAGAGCGCAATGGTTGAACGGGTCAGCACTGAGAGTCGCATCAAGTCGCAAATTCCGGACTTGGAAGAGGTTTTATTTCTTGGTCTAGGCCGGTTTCTCGCTTTTCTCTTTTTTCGTGCATCACTGGCCATCTTTAGCATAATTTCCAATGGGCTGGCTTTTCATCGTGAAATGCTCCCTTGAAAAATCGCGAACAACTTGTTGTAAATTGTGCCACCTTCCGTGGAAGGAAGTAGGTATTGGAAAAAGCCAAGTGAAACGAAAGGCGAATTACAAAATTACATTAATTACAAAAAACGTTCTTCTTTCCAGAGTTGAGAACAAGTTCGATTTTCCGCTTGATGGCCTGTTCCGACTGCGTTCTCGAGACAACAGTCAAACATCATAATACATCTCTACAGTACGTTTAGCTGTGCCATTTTCGACGAAAAAAATTAATACCCACTTGATTTTGAAATGAACTTGAGGTATTGCGTTAACAATTTCACTACATACATATGTTGTTTTGCTCTACTAGAACTCGTTCTGAGGAGTCGTTTTAATAATATCAGTGAGTATCGTCATAGGGGCAGGGATAGCCGAGTGGTTAAGAGGTTAGACTCATGTCTGCACCTCTGAAAAACCGCGAGTTCGATCCCTGCCGAGGCTTAAAACCATGCCTTGCAAAAATTGCAAAAATGGTTCTAGTACCAGCGTCAGGCCCAGGTTGACAGGCCGGCTGATGAATACCCCAGTCACACCAAACATGTCTAAAAGTTGCAAAGAATCAGTGATAAAGCTAGGACGTCACCCGGAAGTGGCGCGCAGAACCCCCGCCCGAGTTCTGTGGTCAGTATGCGAGGGCTACCGAGGAGTGAACGGCCTCGGCCAAAGAAGCTAGTTCGAATTGGGACTCTGAACGTAGGATCGCTAACTGGAAAGTCCCGAGAGGTTGCTGATCTGATGACGCGCAGAAAAATCCAAGTCCTATGCCTTCAGGAGACGCGATGGAAAGGTGCTAAGGCCAGGGAAATCGGGGAAGGTGTCAAACTCTACTACAATGGGGAAGACACCAACGGAATAACTTCCATTAATGTTTGCGGAGTCGCTCACGGGTTAGCGAGTCGCTCAAAGACTATGTCTCTTCTGTGAACAGGATTAGCGAGCGTATAATGGCTGTGAGGATAGACACGAAGGGGGGGGGGTACTGGTCAATACTGTCAGTGCACGCTCCGCAGACCGGATGCCCCGAGAGTGAGAAGGACGAGTTCTACCTAAGGCTTGACGAAGCCATCAGATCTATTCCGGAAGGTGATTACCTCACCATAGCAGGTGATCTGAATGGGCACGTCGGCAGCGACAGAAGAGGTCTTGAAAGGGTGCACGGAGGTAGAGGAATAGGAGTGAGGAACGCCGAGGGAGAGAAGGTTCCTGGACCTGGCTCTGCAGCACGTTCTTCGCGAAAAGGGAGACTCAGAAGGTCACCTACAGCAGTGGAGGGAGACAGACGGAAATCGACCATGTACTGGTAAGAAGATCATCCCTCAAAACTGTGAAGGATATCAAGGTAATTCCTGGCGAAGACCTGGCTCCTCAGCACAGGCCCCTCCTGGCAGACATAGCCATAGACCTTCCCAAGAAGACAAGGGTAAGAACCGAGAGGAGAATCCGGTGGTGGAAGTTGCACCGAGCAGAGAAGAGCGACCTCAAACGAAGGATAATGGAAGTTGGTCTCCCAGATCCTGAGGGACCAGTGCAGCAGACTTGGGGCAGTGCAGCTGAGATCATCCTACGATGCGCCAAGGAGGTACTGGGAGAGACGCGAGGTGGATTCAGAGGAGACAAGGCAGCGTGGTTCTGGAACGAGGAGGTCCAGCGAGTCGTGAAACAGAAGAAGGAGGCATACAAGCGCATGAGCAGAAAGTCCTGGAAGCAACAGAGGAAACCTCGCTGCCTACAAGAGTTGCAAGAGGCTCGCTAAGGCAGCCGTCGCCAAGGCGAAGAACACGGAAATGGACGCCTTGTACGAGAAGTTGAAGAGCCAAAACGCAGAAAAGTTCGTCTTCAGACTGGCCAAAGCCCGGCATCGGGCTACCCAAGACATTAGGGTGGTGAAGAGCGTGAAGAGCAGTAACGGTGCCATCCTGAGGAAGCCAACTGAAGTCAGGAGGAGGTGGAGAGGAGTACTACAAGGCGCTCCTAAACGAGGAGTACCCCCACAAAGACAGCTTCACAAGCAGAGGCGACGGCTGGCCCTATCTCACTATGGACAGAGGATGAGGTTCGTCAAGAAACTAAGGAACATGATGAGGTTGGAAAGGCGGTGGGTCCAGATGGGGTGCCAATCGAGGCATGGAAGGCGCTCGAGAGAGTACGGGATCAGATGGCTTACCCAATTCCTGAACACGGGTAACCACCGCAAGGAAGGATGCCGGATGCCTGGAGAAGCACTCGTCCCTATCTTCAAGCAGAAGGGTGACGCGATGGACTGCTCCAACTAACGCGGGATCAAGTTGACTGCTCATACAATGAAGCTGTACGAGCGCGACTAGTCGATTCGAAACTGCGAGAGCCGGTCCCGATCTCCCAGGAACAGTTCGGGTACATGCCCGATGCCATCTTCATCGCTAGACAATTTATGGAAAACTACTGAGAAAAGCGCCGACCCTGCTACCTAGCCTTCCTTGACCTGGAGAAGGCGTTCGACCGACTACCTCGAACAGTACTATGGAGAGACGCGCTCAGGGAGCGGAATGTGCCAGAACACCTGATCTCTCTAGGTTCAAGCGAACGTAGATGGGGCGAAGGCAGGGGCTCATACGCACCCCACGCAGGCTCTCGAACGCAAAGGGAACTGGACATTATACGAAGTTATACGAGGAACTAGATGTCATGGTGAAGGGCTCATGGAAGGACCACTAAGACCATCCTCTACGCTGACGACATCGCCCTGATAGCGGATAGCAGAGAAGAACTACAGGCCAAGGTGCAGAAATGGCAGAAAGTCCTGGCAGAAGGTGGGCTCCGGCTGAATGTCAAGAAGACCAAGTTCCTGAGCTCTGAAGAGGGTGCAGAGCCGATCGTGGACGGCCATGGTGAGACCATCGAAAGAGTGGAGGACTTCCGATACCTTGGGAGCGATCTGGCAGCCGACGGTGGTGTGGATCAGGCAGTGAAGGCTCGGTCAACGCTGCATGGATGAAATGGAGGACTGGAATCCTCTGCGATCGAAGGTGCTCCAGAACGCTCAAAGGGAAGGTGTACCGGACAGTGGTAGGCCTGCGATGCTATACGGCAGCGAGTGCTGGCCCCTGAACAAGAATCACGAAAGGCAGCTTCACTCCGCTGAAATGAGGATGCTGAGATGGGCCTGCGGCTGGACGCGACTGGACAGGGTCAGAAACGAGGATGTCAGAGCGGTCATGCAGACTGCCCCTGTCCAGCTGAAGGTACGGGAACAGCGTCTGCGATGGTATGGGCACGTGCTAAGGAGGCCACAGGACCACCCGATAAGGAAAGCAATGGACTTCGAAGCGCAAGGCAAGCGACCGCGAGGAGCCCCAAAGAAGAGGTGCGGGACGTGCAGAAGATGCCCTAGACAGAGCGAAGTGGCGACGACTGATAAAGACAGCGGACCCTGCGACTGCGCGGGACTAACGCTAGGGAGAAGAAGAAGAGGAAGATAGTGAGTATCGTCATCATTTATCACAGAAAAGTGCAGAGGGAATCCATAATTTGCGACCACATTTCATATCAAGGGTCTTCGTCAGTTCCAACCAGGGTCAACCCTACGTTGTTACGAGTAACAACGGGGGGGTCGTACTCAGTTGAGCTTGGAGAGGGGGGTCGTACCCTCTCGGTGGCCGACAGTGGGATTCTTGGTAATATCGGATAATAGCCAGCACGTTACGTTTTCGTAAGATGACTGATACTAGAGCATCTATAAACCACGCTTCCCTCTAAATGAGCTTTCAAATGAATCAGCGAATTAGAAGGGCGCCCGAGGCGTGGCGCGCACCAAGGCAAGGGATGTAGTGCAAGCGCATGCTCGAAGCTTTCTAGCACATCCTAAATTAAACATGAAATTGGTCTTCCAAGAAGTTACGGGCAGTGAAACCTAAGAAAACCGCGTTTTCGAGAAAATGGCTTGAAGAATACCCCTCAAAAAAAAAGTAACAACGGGACTAATTTTTGAACTGCTGATCTTTCAGGAACGCTTGGGTGCTTTAGAAAGCTTGAATCCTGTAGTTTATTATACGTGTTCAGCTTCCCAAATGAATGACTTTGAAGGAAGTTATGATCGTTTAAAGGTCAAAAAGTCGCATTTGCACAGAAAAAAGTAACAACGTACTAAATTTTTATAAATTAACTTTCGAAGAATTTTTACCCATGGTTGGAGAGAGAATAATTTGAATTTTCCAAATCAAATCACTTCGGCGCAGAAGCTCGAATATGAAGGAAGTTATAGCCCTAGAAAGAGGAGTGTAAAAATTGTGTTGCAATTTTATTTTTTGCCTAATAACTTATTCATTCCGAAGTGTTTGAGAACAAATGAGCACTCGTTAGGAAGGAGGAGCCACGTCGATCCAAAATCCACCTAAATCTTCCGAACTACCTGAAATGTAAAAAAGAAAAACTCCTCGAATTTTCACACTCCCCGTTCGACGCCTCTTGACCGTGAGCAAATGCGCTCCACCGCTCCGAAAAGTCTTCCGCTCGAAGGGTGGAACCGACGGTGAGTTTATTTCTTGCGCTGTCCTGATCTTCTCGAGGGGTTTCTGACACGATGTCGAAACCGCTAGAGTTGATGAGGCGCTTGGTGGTGTAGAGCGTAAGTCTAACGCTTGAAACACGTTCAGGCCTCTGAAGACGACGATTCAGTCGAAACGTTAGGCCATTAATAAAGTTCCACCGAACAACCTCGTAAGGCACAAGAAAATTTGTTAAACTTACAACTGACATGCTGACAACTGACAACTGACTACTGACAACTGTTACAAGAAGGGAGAAGTTGGAGAATGCTCTCTTGACTGTTTTCTTGTCTCATCGCCCACCGTCTTTCTTGTCCTCTCTGATTGTGATTGCTACTGGCACTTTCCTTTCCATCAGCGGCAATATACACACGAAGTAACAAAACTTGTCAGCAGTGGCTTCTGTCGTTCAGGTGTTACGCAAAACTTGTGAAGCTGAGTGGAGCCCAGCCCGGATTAGTAATGAAAACACTTTATGAGTGCCTTATCCTGACTCGTGCCTTTAACCTTCAATGAATAGATTTCAAATCAACTTAGTTTTGCTTTGTCAGACTAATGATCAATAATTTTTTTTGAAGTTGGTTTGCTCCATCAGGCTAACATTCTTTTTTAATTTCTTGGTTACCATGATCGTGGCCCACACTGTAACCAGAGATGTACGTTTTTACTGGCACGTATGCGTCGAAATTGCTTTTGACGTCCGCTACTGAGAAGAAATGAAGCTTGCCTCAAACCGTTATTCTAATCGAACTGCCGACTGCGCCTTTCGAAAGCTTAAAGGCATTAAACACTGTTGAAAGCATTTGCGGCGGAAAGCTCAGATCGTCGTCGGCGCGACAGGCAAGGTTGGATTTTAATAACTGGGTATGAAGCTTTGTTTTGATAACTTCCTCATCATGCTCACAAGGGTAGACTTAATGATGGTAAGGAATTCAAATACGAAATGAACCTCACATGCTTTTGAAAAACTAGTGGCAGGCATCTTTCCAAGTCTCAGAAAGCTCACCTAACATTAAAGATGCACTGAAAATGTGTGCTAGCAGTTTTAATAGTGAGAATCACATTCACGTACATCTATCACAAGAGGAGAAGTATTCTACAGTAGGGCGCGAGGATGGGAGACTTCAGCCTTTTCAAAATGAGAAAAACTTAACCTCCAACATACTATCTTTCTTCTTTATAATCATCCAGCTTAATACGGTTCCTGTCTCTGAAACCGAAGGCAACTGTCCAATGCCAATTGCAGAGCATAGCCGACCAGATCATCAAATTTGAGGATATATTGAAAATTTTCTGATAGATGGGTGCAACAACTTGATCATTCCTTTGTTCCAGTTGTAGCAATCCTTGACGATGATTGATACGTATACTCATAATTTCTACGGCCTTCATCACACCGGCTCTAGTTTCTACAGCTCAATGTGTGTGCGTGCTGGCAACGCCTGACGAGTATAACGATTAAATTCAATTCTTTATTTAAAAAGGGCTAATAACTGCTACTGGCAAAGATGCATTCATAGGCTGTTGAGAAATTGAAATTTGAAAATTGAAAGCACAAACAACGAACAAGTTAGATGAATCAACATTCATTCTAAAAAGAACAAAAGTCAGGAGATCCGCGCTTGCTCCGGTCGAAAATGCACAAAACGAAGCTGCTCCCTATCATTTGCGTTGAAACTGGCAGCAGCATTT